CTCTATCCACTGAGCCAAACAGGTTTCGGCTGAAGGTAGCTTCTTTTTTCTTTCCTTTCCTCTGAGGAGCGTGGCCTTTAGGCCTGTGCCAGGCCGCCCACCTCAGGTCTCCTCACTCTCGCCCAGCCCGGCATGCCTGACCAAGCTCAGGCTCCTGTTCTCTCTGTTCTGGCCGCTGTTGGTTCTGCTTGACCAACTCTTCCACCCACTATCAGGATTGTATGCCCAGATAAAAGGCTGCTCTGTGACCTTTGGTTGGAGGGACTGCCGTCCTGTTCAACTGTGGAAATGCCATATGGTGTTGGACCTTTCTTCCTTCTTCTTGTCCTCTCCCTTTTATATATATATATATATATATATATTATTGATTTTCTACAGAGAGGAAGGGAGAGGAGAGAGATAGAGAGCTAGAAACATCCATGAAAGAGAGACATCGACCAGCTGTCTCCTGCACACCCCACACCAGGGATGTGCCTGCAACCAAGGTACATGCCCTTGACCGGAATCGAACCTGGGACCTTCCAGTCCACAGACTGACGCTCTATCCACTGAGCCAAACCGGTTTTGGCTGTCCCCTCCTGTTAAGAGGAGCCAGTTGCCCTAGGGATAAGTATAGCTCTTTAAAAAAAAAAAAAAAATGTTACTGTTGATAGTATTAGGGATAACTATAACGCTTATCTACCAATGCAAAGAAGCCTGCACATTAGCCCTGCTGGTGTTGCTCAGTGGTTGATGTCACTGGTTTGATGTCTAGTCAGGGCACGTGCCTGGGTTGTGGGTTTGGTCCCCAATAAGGAGTGTACAGGAGGCATCCAACTGATTATGATTCTCTGTCATCATTGATGTTTCTGTCTCTCTATCCCTCCCTCTAAAAAAAAAAAAAAAAAAAGAATAAAAATATATTTTTGAAGAAGAAGCCTGCACTTTTAAAAGCCCCATCTTTCAGAGGGACACCTGCAGCCAGTGTGCCAGCTCCTGTTCACCGAGGGGCCTTCCGGCATTTCCCAGTCTCTGAAGGCCTCTCTGTCCTTTCTCTGCTGCTACTAACACTCAAAACCCCTGAGTCACAGGCTAACTCACTTGAGGCTTAATCCTTTGAAAAAATTAGCCCTCTCGTTACCCCTCTAGAGAAGCAGGATTAGGGAAGAGCTGAAAGTTGATTGGGAAGGACACCCACAAACACGAGAGGAGTTGTCTTCAGTCCCCGGGAGACATTTTTAATCTATTTAAAAAAATATTTTATTGGTTTTTTACAGAGAGGAAGGGAGAGAGATAGAAACATCGATGAGAGAGAGACATCGATCAGCTGCCTCCTGCACACCTTCTACTGGGGATGTGCCCACAACCAAGGTGCGTGCTCTTGATTGGAATTGAACCTGGGATCTTTCAGTTTGCAGGCTCTATCCACTGAGCCAAACCGGTTTAGACTGGGAGACAAAAATGTTTAAGTATACGTATTTTTTTTTTATTTTATTGATTTCAGAGAGGAAGGAAGAGATAGAAATATCAGTGATGAGAGAGAATCAATCATTGATTGTTTGCTTTCTTCATGACCCCTACTGGGGACTGAGCCCGCAACCCCAGGGTGTGCCCTTTTGACCAGAATCTAACCCGGGACCCTTTAGTCCGCAGGCCGAAGCTCTATTTGCTGAGCCAAACCAGCTAGGGCAACAATTTGAGAGGTCTGACTATTCAAGGTGAATGGGAAAAGCTCTGCCGTGACAATAATAGTATCTGACATTTATTGCCAGGCAAGGTGCAAAAGGCCTTGAATGTATTGTCTCATTGAATACAACCCACCAGTTGTCATCTCCATGACCAGGTGAGGAAATAGAGGCCCAGATGCCCATAGCTAATAAGCGAAGAAGATGGCATGTCTGTTACATTTTGGCTCGGCCACCCTGATAAATGTCTGCTTGAGTAAATGAAGTCGCCGGTGCACTGAGTACATGTGCCCTGTGAGGAGGGGCAGGAGTGAAGGCAGGTGCCTTCCTCCCTCCTGCAGAGGAATGGGCACCTGCAGTTAGCCGTGGGGGTTGGTGGACTTGCCAGGGCCTGACTTTCTTCACAGGAAAGTTCCCCATTTATGTACAGCATTTCACCCGACGAAGCCTGGGACGGACATTTCTGTAATCCCCCGGGGAGGAAGAGGAAGGCACACTTTCCTCCTCTGTCCCTCTGCTGCTGCTCCCTAGGGCTCACACTTGCAAAAAGCACCCTGCTGTTCCCCTCCCCCTGGGATCACACAGGTGAGGCCCGGCTGGGAGGAAGGATGGGAGAAGCGACGTGTAGTTCAGGTTGTTTTGGATAAACCGCCTGTGTCGTTTTCAGTGTGGACCACACACTGGAGCGCCTTATTCAGGGGAAGGAACTATTGCATCACACGTTTGCCGAGGGCAAACCGGGTTTTCTCATTAGAGTTCTCCTCCATTATGCTTGGGAACTTGGCTCCACAGGGGCCCGTTTGTTCCTCCAAATTACCAGTTTCTGGGAGAGGAAAAGTACTTAGTGTCGTCTCACTTAAGCATCCGCTTAGATCAAACAGTAGTGACCGGGAGGCCAGATCCTGTAGTCCAGACATGCAGCTATGACCACCAGGAGCACCCCCCCCCCCCCCCCGCCCCCTGTTTCTTACAGGAGAGTGTAGTGAGAAGAAGGGAGCATTGGGCAGCCAGCCCCGCTGTGGGCCTGCTGCACACGTGTGAAAAGGCTTTGTTGAAACACTGCCCTTTCCCTGGGTGGGAAAAGTGCTCCATGGGGATGCATTGTGTTTGAAAATATCCAGAGAACTCTTCTAGGGTCTTCATGGAGCTGGAGGGGCAAGATGGAAAGCACCAGGTGCGGGCCTCTCTCCCCATCACCGGGAGGTAGAAGGTATGGGAGGAATGTGGTAGGTCTGGCTCAGAATGAAAGTGGTTACAAGATTGTCGAGATGACTAAGTGACAGGGCATGCAGGTAAGACACTTACCCTTTGCCTGGTATGCCATATCCGCCCCTGCCCTCCCCCCTCCGTGAATGTTAGCAGTGTATTGTTCTAGTAATAATAAAATTATTACAACAGCTTCGTAGTTTTCCCATGCAGTCTCTCAGCTCTGAACTTCTTTGTGCCTCATGGCTTGCACAGCATTGACGGAAGGCATGACAGGTGGCGGGGCCGTCGGAGAAACTGTGTGCCTTTCGTCGGTCACAGCTTTCTCTTTTCACCGAGTGTGGTTAGAAGGCTTTGTCATGGGCTGAAGAAAGGAGCTCTTGTGGGAGATGTTTCCTTAAGGGAGATAGTGTTCTTGTGGGTGCTTTGTCTGACTTCCTGGTACTTGCTTTCCTTAAGTGGCCGGTTTCCCTGAGGCTGGGCGGGTTCCCTGAGGCTGGGCGGCTGTGGTGAGGTCTGCCCACTCTGCACTCACAGGTCACTTCCTGGCACACGTTTCCAAGTCCTCTTCGGAGCCTGTGTACCCACTGCAGGCCCTTTTGGGATACATTTTCCTCCAAAACAGAGACCCTGATCTTGTTTATCCCGAGAGACAGGGAAAGAGCATCAAGTGAGGGTTCTGGGTGTTCGGCTCCAGTCCCAGGGGTGTCATTTACAAACTAAGGGTGTGGCCTTAGTTTCTTCAAGGTGTGATGATGGGGAGGGTTCTGGTCAGGATGACAACATGTGCCCGGAGGGCTTGTGAACTGCTAAAATGTAAGGGTGGCAGTGTCACTGCTGTTACTGTCCTTACTAACCCAGGGCCATGCTGGTGACTCTAAGGGGGCCCTTTGGTTGGCGCTTCCCAGCAAGGAATGCTTTCTGACATTGTATGTTGAAACCCACCCATCGGTCTTCTCACCCATTCATTCACCCATTCATCCACCTATCATCCAGCCAACCAGCAGTTATTTATTGAGCTCTTATTATATATGCCAAGCAGTGTTCAAGGCACTGGGTGGATAAATAGTGAACAGCTCCAGCCTTCACTGAGCATGCTTTCGAGTGGGAGAGGGAGGGTTTGAAATAAACAAGATAAATAAAATACGAAGTATCTTTTCACAAACAGACTTGGTGCTTTGAGACCCAGTGGTTGGCATCCTAAAGCAGGCGTTGTCTTCTCTCTCATACGCCCTGTTTCTGTTGTATGTACCACACTGCTCCCCAGCAGGCATCTGAGCACCAGGAGGGCAGAGATTGGGTTGGGTTTCTCATATTTCTCTGTGCCTAGTTTAGTGACAGACACCTGGTAGGCACACCATGTGGTTATCAATCACAGCCAACCATATAAAGAGGGTAGAAGTAAAAAGTCCCACAGGTACCCATTTCCTGAATGTCTTTTCTGGAATTAACCTACATATAGTTTATAAATAAGTGACGCTTAAATGTTTAAATGCCTCTTCACTTAACGATACTGTTTTGAAGATCATTTCCTTTTAGAGAGTTCATATTTTTAAAAATAACTCTATCCCATTGGATGGGTGTACCATCATTTATTTAACCAATTCTCTAGTGATGCTTATGTCATTGTTTGCAATCTTTTTAAAAAAATATATTTTTATTGATTTCAGAGAGGAAGGGAGAGGGGAGAGAGAGAGATAGAAAAATATCAATGATGAGAGAATCATTGATCAGCTGGCTCCTGTACACCCCCTACTGGGGATCGAGCCTGAAACCTGGGCATGTGCCCTTGACCAGAATCCAACTCAAGGACCCTTCCGTCCGCAGGCCGACACTTTATCCACTGAGCCAAACCGGCTGGGGCTGTTTGCAATCTTTTGCTGTCGATGAACACTCCACGGGGAATCATGTTCATATGCCATTTGCACATTTGCAAGTCCTGCAGGATAATTCTGAATAGTGGGGAATACTGACTTAGGACTTACCACATGGTATTAATTCACAAAAGAGGGCAGAAAAGGAGGCCCAGGCGCGGATTAATGACCACATGTAGTGGGCAAGTCACCAGTCCCTGTGTTCTGCTCAAAGTCCTTACGGCATCTAGTATCACTCCTTCTGTTTCTGCTCCAGGCTGGAGAGTCCACATTCAATCGCGCTAAGCTCCTCAACGTGGGCTTCCGAGAGGCCTTGAAGGACTATGACTACAACTGCTTCGTGTTCAGCGACGTGGACCTCATCCCCATGGATGACCGGAACGCCTACCGGTGTTTCTCCCAGCCACGGCACATCTCTGTGGCAATGGACAAGTTTGGGTTTAGGTAAGAGCTGTTCACCAGAGTCGGTAGGAAACATGTTCCTCTCTGACATGACAGCTGGGGAAGAGCGCCTCTGTTGAGTAGTAATTCTTTCCATCCTCCCTTGCTGAGGGCATGAGGTCTATGAAATAAACATAGGGTTGTTGTAAAGTCCTTCCCCTAGATCAAAGGTGTTCAGGCCCTGAACTTGCTGTCTTGGGGGGAGGGATCTAGCTGTAAAAGTCACTCTCTGGCCCCCATCTTCCCTCCCACCCTCCCTGTTTATGTATCATCTTCTTGATATACACGGGCTTATACCCTGACCCCTTAATTCTGCCCTTGAAGCATGGTGGGTGGGGATCACTTCTTTTCCATAACACCATGTCTATTTTCCCAGGACCTCTCAGGCTTGGGGGGTGGGGCAGGAGGTAAGAGAAAGCAGCAGAGACAGCAAAACTAGGTCTTGTCAGCTCAGCTGATAATTCCCCTAGAAGTGGCTGAGAGTCCATCTCTATAAAAACACTCATTATCAAAAAACCATTATTGGCGTGGCCACCTGGGGTTCAAACCTTTGCCTTGCAAGTGCAGACTGTACTGTGAGGAAAGCAAAAGGTGGCTGGCTGACTTGGCACCTCATTGACGGTAGCTTATTACCCGTAGATGACCTTAGATTCATTAAAGCATGTCCCCAGGGAGCTTGCTTGTGGATACTTGCAGTCAGAATGCATTATTCCTAAATGGATTAGAAAATGATAATTGCTTGCTTTTTTTTGTTTTGTTTTGTTTTATTGTTGTTTTAGGTTTTGTTTTTCTTGGGTTCTGTATGGTTTGGCTGACTTTTCTCTTGAAATTTGAGTTAGCATTTTTCTTAATTTGTGTGATAAGTTTGGTTCCTCTGGATTCCAGTAAGAGCCTGAGTGGGGTTTGGAACTGCACACAGGGCCGAGAAAAAAAAAAACCCACAGCCTTTGAAGGACCCCAGAAGGCCTTTGCATGGCCTCTGGACAGGTCATTCTGATTCTTAACATTTCTCATCCTCTGTCTTCCTCAGGAGGCCACAGTTTATAGCCACTGAAACACTGAAATGCAAAAAGGTTTGGTGGGAGGAGAGCCCAGATGCCCTGCTGCTTGAAATGTGTCAAAATAGATTCATCATCATACATACCGCTGAGTCAGGGCATGGTAGAAATTTCCAAGGAAAGTTTCAGGAATGTATCTTTTTTATTTTTTTTCAAATCAGAAATTTTACCCTTTTTATTGATGCATCACAATTGCTCTATATTTTACCCTCTTATGTAGAAAATACAAGCTACTTTGTAAAACCAAAGACAAGCATAGCGTCCAAAGATAAACTATGTTTTACACAATCAACCCGCCACCGCCCTCCGTCTGACGTTATTGGTAAATTTTAAATATCTATTTATTTTGTGAAAATGATTATTTTACATACTCCCTAAGTCCATCTGCATTATAAACAGGTATTCTCAGAAACTGTTTCTAGAGGCTTGTTGTAAAAGGAAGCGTACAACAAGAAAAGGGAGAAAGCAGAAAAAGTTTAAACCACACACAGTAACTAGCATATAAAGTACATTTAATAAAGTTGGCATTCCATTGCAATATCAAGGAATCAAAGTGGAAATACTAACATTATATATACTGTACATATAATGGTACATGTAGTGAGATTATTTCTTCAAGCCAAATCAAAACCATACATTAAATAAATTTAGCAACTATTCTGATGATGAGTGCTGCACCATTCATCAGTTACAAACAAAATCAAAATAGGAAGCATGCCGAAACCGGTTTGGCTCAGTGGTAGAGCGTCGGTCTGCGGACTGAAAGGTCCCAAGTTCGATTCCGGTCAAGGGTATGTACGTTGGTTGCGGGCACATCCCTGTTAGGGGTTGTGCAAGAGGCAGCTGGTCGATGTTTCTCTCTCATCGACGTTTCTAGCTTTCTATCTCTCTCCCTTCCTCTCTGTAAAAGATCAATAAAAAATATATTTAAAAAAAATAGGAAGCAGGCTTGAGCCGTTCTTGTCATTTAGAAGCAACTTTTATTTCCTAACTGAAAACAAACCATCCTGATCAGTGGGTGTTTGCATAATAATGATGACTAAAGCACACACCACTGTGCTTTCCTGACTGAGGGCAGTCCAAACTTAGCTCCTTTGCTGGGGAAAGATGAAATGCTTTTTTTTTTTTTTTAAAGATTTTTTTAGAGGGAGAGAGCGAGAAACATCGATGGGCTGCCTCCTTCAAGCCCTCTACTGGGGATTGAACCCACAGCCCAGACACAGAACCTGACCACAATTGAACCCACGACACTTTGGTGCATGGGATGATGCTCAACCCAACTGAGCACACCGGCCAGGACCACAAATGCTGTCTTGTCTATTGTAATTAGTCAGTTTTCAAGCCAGTAAACCTTTGGAAGAATGGAAGCTGGACTGGTAGATGGCTGGGCACATGACAGCATGGGCACAGGGAGACCACAGAACCACCTCAGATCCCAGGACTTCCTGGATGAGGACTTCCCATGCAGGAGCAGATTCCTGTCTGGTGCAGAACTGGGCTTATGCTTATGTAACCGACTGATTTTCTACATCCCCACAGAAGCGACACAATATTTTTAGAAAGAAGATTCTATTTTTTGACACCTGTGTCTTCTCTAAAATAATCTGAGTCTACTATTAAAACAAAGAAAGCCCTCATAAATCTCCAGTGAAAAAGTTCCAGAGAATAGCAGTAACTTTAGGAGTGTTTATTTTGAGCAAGTTTTATTTCGAGAAAGTAAAAACTTACTAACCGCTGGTCTCTCTGTGTGTGTTTCCTTTTTTCCCCCCCAGCTTACCTTATGTTCAGTTTTTTGGAGGTGTGTCTGCCCTAAGTAAACAACAGTTTCTCACCATCAATGGATTTCCTAATAATTATTGGGGCTGGGGAGGTGAAGATGACGACATTTTCAACAGGTAATGGTCACAACTCTGTCTGCCTTTACTTCTAGTTTTTCAATCGATGCTTGATTATTCTGCAAGGCTTTGACCCTCAGGAAGGATGCAGTCCCCACTCAGCCCAGGGTATTATGTGTGCTCAGCTATAGACACTGTACATGCTGAAGATATCTTTAGGAAAATTAGCTGTTGCTATTTAAAGAAAAAAAATTAAATTTATTGGTTTTTAGAGACGGGGGGAAGAGAGAAACATTGATTTATTGTCCCACTTATTTATACATTCATTGGTTGGTTTTTTTGTTTTTTAAAAAAATATATTTTATTGATATTTTACAGAGAGGAGGAAGGGAGAGAGAGAGCTAGAAACGTCGATGAGAGAGAAATATCGACCAGCTGTCTCTTGCACACCCCCTACCGGGGGATGTGCCCGCAATCAATGTACATGCCCTTGACTGGAATCGAACCTGGGACATTTCAGTCCGCAGACCGACGCTCTACCACTGAGCCAAACCGGTTTCGGCCATTGGTTGTTCTTGTATGTGCCCTGACTGGGGATCAAACCCACAACCTTGGCGTATAGGGATGATACTTTAACCAGTGGGGCTACCCAGCCAGGGCAGCGTCTGTGATTTTTGCATTAGCCTTGGAAAATGGAAAATGAGAACCAAGTGAAGGAGTGTACTTTGATGCATACCACGTGCCATTTTGTCCTAAAAGAGTAAACGTGTCCTTCAGCCCTAGCTGGTTTGGCTCAATGGATAGAGCATGGACTGTGGACTGAAGGGTCCTAGGTTTGGTTCCCGTCAAGAGCACATGCCCAGGTTGCAAGCTCAGTCCCCATTAGGGGACATGCTGGAGGCAACTGATCAGTGATTCTCTCATCACTGATGTTTCTCTCGCTCCCTTCCTCTCTGAAATCAATAAAAATATATTAAAAAACAAACAAACAAAAACATGTGTCCTTCATAAAAATTCAGCATCTCACTGTAGTCATGTTTGAGTATGAAACAAGTTTCTTTGGACAGGACCCCTAGTTCTTCACAGAATATTGGTTCTGTTTTATTTATTTAACTTTTTGGACTATTTTAATATACACAAAAGAGGACAGAGTAGTGTGATGGCTGCTGTGTACCCACTGGCCCCAGCAAACATCATTTCACAGCCAACCCCCAACACCCACACCCGTGGACTCGCTGGGAGTTGGTAAAACTTTATCATGTAGCTTGTCATTACAGATGGTATAAAATCACCTGCCAGTAGCATTTGAAACCGCATTCTGCCCAGTTCTCCCCGGCAATGGAGGCTTCAACCCTGCCAACTGCGGATTAAAAGCACCTACTCCCTCTGGGAGCCGGTCTGAACTTGTCTCTGAGTTTGATGTCAGAATATACCCTAGTGCCTTCCTGGATTGCAGAACACTAATTTGATCAGTTAACTGAAGGTGTCTGTCAGGGCAGCACCCAAGCCATTCAAGGTTGGCTTTCTGTGAGAACTTGGCATAGGCCCGAGTCTTTAATGTAGGCCTTGAAGAACACTTGAGTTTTCAAGTATGCAGCTCGAGTGTCCGCTGCATGCGAGCACTGTGCCAGGTGGGCCCCATCGGGAAGACCCTGAATTCATGGACATGGAGTCCAGACAGAAACAAGCTTGCTCCTACAGTACCACAGCTGGGCAGACACTGGGCTGATGTGACAACAGAGACCTGAGTGGTCAAAAACGTTGGGGACGTGGGGCCCAGAGAACACAGTACTATAGCATCCTGGGCTGGAGGGACTAGAAGGGTGAGCGGTGTGTGGAGCAGCTTTCTTGGGAAATAAAGGACCTAACTCTTCCTCTTCACCTACTCACTGTCTGCCAGGTCCTGGGGGCAAGGCAAGGCCACCAGCCTTTATTTTTTTATTTTTTTTTTATTTATTTATTATTTTTTTTTATCAATCTTTATTGTTCATATTATTACAAAGGTTCCTCATTTCTTCCCCCCTCCACCAGGTTCCCACCCCACCCTCCGTCCCCCCCCGCATCCTCCATTGTCCTCATCCATAGGTGCAGTTTATGTTCAGTCTCTTCTTCCCTCAATTTCCCCAATAGTAAATCCCTTTTCAGATAGTAAATCAGTTACTTAGCATTTTCTCATATCAATAATACCTCCACATGCCCAATGATACATTTCACACAAAAGACATTTCCCACTAGGTCAACCAGCCTCATCCAGGCCCCACCCAAGGCACTCACAGATCAACACCCCAGTCCTAAACTAACTCAACACATCCAGATCTAAGCCTTCATCACTTGATTCAGCAGACCCTCAAGTTCCCACGAAAGTTTCCAGCCATGTCTGAGAAGCAGCCGTAGGGCAGGGGCCGGCAAGGAGCGAGCTGTTCTGGGCCTGGCTGCTCAGGGCCTGGCCTCTGTTGCTCTGGTTCATTCCACAACCAGCTGCTCCGGGTCTGGTCACTGCCGCTCCCGACCTAGTTGCTCTGGACTTGGCTGCTGCTGCTCCGGGGCTGGCCGCTCCCAGCCTGGCCGCCGCTGCTCCGGGCCTGGCCGCACCCGACCCGCCTGCTCCCCCGGGCCTGGCCGCTCCCAGCCTGGCAGCCGCTGCTCCGGGCCTGGCCGCACCCGCCCCGCCTGCTCCCCCGGGCCTGGCCGCTCCCAGCCTGGCAGCCGCTGCTCCGGGCCTGGCCGCACCAGCCCCGCCTGCTCCCCCGGGCCTGGCCGCTCCCAGCCTGGCAGCCGCTGCTCCGGGCCTGGCCGCACCCGACCCGGCTGCTCCCCCGGGCCTGGCCGCTCCCAGCCTGGCAGCCGCTGCTCCGGGCCTGGCCGCACCCGACCCGGCTGCTCCCCCGGGCCTGGCCGCTCCCAGCCAAGGCCACCAGCCTTTAAAGTCATCCAGGGACACTGCCTCTTCACTCCTCTGTTCCTGCTTTGGTTTTGGTCCTCATTCCTTTTCCCTAGACCCGAGGTCGGCAAACTCATTCGTCAACAGAGCCAAATACCAACAGTACAACGATTGACATTTCTTTTGAGAGCCAACTTTTTTAAACTTAAACTTCTTCTAACGCCACTTCTTTAAAATAGACTCGCCCCGGCCGTGGTATTTTGTGGAAGAGCCACGCTCAAGGGGCCAAAGAGCCGCATGTGGCTCGCGAGCTGCCATTTGCCAACCACGGCCCTAGACCTACATACAGAACCTTCCACTCGGTTCTGGCTGCCCCGTCTTATTCCCTACTCCCCCTTTTTATACTTCTTATCAGAGAGACGTCTCCTTGGCTACACACCTTTGGGAAACACTGTATTACATCCTTTCCTGACACTGGCACGGCTCACGGGCTGCTTGAAGCTTTGAGAAGACCACCATGGTTCAGCCTTGGCCCATCTTGCCAGCCTCATCTCCAGCCACTTCCAACCCCAGATCCCTGAGGCTTGTGCTGCTCCCGAGGGCCCTGTGTCTGCTCTCCCTGCCTTTGCCTGCGCTTTCCTGGCCGCCCAGAGGGCTCTGGCCGACGCCGTGCATCTCCACGACTTGGCTCTGCCTACTGTTACTTTCTGATGACGATTTGTCCCTTTGCTCCTTGCAGATTAGTTTTTAAAGGTATGTCCATATCTCGCCCGAATGCCGTGGTTGGGAAGTGCCGGATGATTCGCCACTCGAGGGACAAGAAAAATGAACCCAATCCTCAGAGGTGTGTTCTGTGTTTGTTTATATTCCTTCTTCCCTCTCTAGGATGGGACAGAAGGGAGGCCCTGGGGAGGGCTCAGTCTAAAGGGGGAAAAGTAACGAAGTGCAGACGCGTAATGCCTTTTTTTCCTTAAGATTTTTGTTTCGACACCAACCTCTTGCTTTTTTTTTTTTTTTTTTTTTGTCCTTGTAGGTTTGACCGAATTGCACACACAAAGGAGACAATGCTGTCTGATGGTTTGAACACACTGACTTATAAGGTGTTGGACATAGAGAGAAACCCCCTATATACCAAAATCACAGTGGACGTCGGGAAACCAAGCTAGCATTTTGCTACCTGGAGAAAGAGACCTGAAAATGGCCAGGGACCTCGGCCGTGTCCCTGCCAACGTGCCGGGCTGGTCCCTCATTCTTACCAATCAGCGTGACAGCCCCTCCGCTCAGCATTTGCACGCCTTTCCAAAGGCTGACCAGAACAAGGGGGATGTTTTGCCCCCAGCTTGACTTCGGCGTGTGACTTCTTAGCTCTACGAGGTGTTTGTATGTGTAGAAACTGCCAGCCTCTGGGGTTCTCCGCATGTTCACAGTGCCTGCACCCCAAAGAATCAGAGCGTATACAGCCCCAAATTTGTGACTGTGGGACTCGTTCCCAGTGGTAAACTGCAAAATTGTTGTGAAATAGGTAAGAATTTTGTTTTAAATCGTGTATTCTTATTACTTTATGCAAAATTGGAGAGCGCTGCTGAAATTGGATTAGTGTGGTATTATTTTTGGTTGTCATATTGTAAGCAGAAAAACTGTTAGCCATTCTCACTTTACGCCTCCCCTCCCTCCTTTAGCGCTATACAGCTGTTCCAATCACTGTGTGTCTCTCTTCTTCGCAAAAGAGTTTTAAAACGTGAGCCTCAGACCCTTTGCCCTGCTAGCCGTGTGAATTCCAAAGCAACCTTAGCCATCAGAGCAAAATCCTTGGGTTGTCCTCACATCCAGTGGCCTTTCTCCACATTGCCTGATTTCTGAATGTAAAACTATTTTTTTTTTAAAAAAAGAGCAGATGGCAGTTTGTAGACCAAATCTTGAAGACCAAATCGAACTCTGATTATATGATGTAGCTTTGATTTTGTGTTGATCCAGATTTTCACGGCTGTGGAGTGTTCAAACATGGCAATTGATTTTTCTGAGTATGTTATGTACACTTGAATTCCCTATGCATTTTAATGTAGTGTTTTACGTGTGAGGAAGGGACGGAGCATTTTTTTAGGGGCGGGGCAGGGCAGGGGGCGATGCTAATATGCTGTAGTGGCCATGAGCAGGCCTCTGATGTAGCCGGCCGGCCAGATTTTGTGAAAAGCAAAGTCACCTGTGGGTCCTTTGTTGAGGCAAGCCCCCCCCCCCCCCCCAGGACCTCTGCAGGAAGGCAGACTCCTTGGCCTGCCAGGCAGTGCTCCCCGTCTCTTTACCCTCCCCAGGTGGGCAGGGCAGAGGGAACCTCTAGCACCGCCTTGGACTGACCCCTAGGACCTCCCACCCGGGCCCTCGGCTGTGGGTTGTAAATGACCGCAGTCAGAACTGTTTACTGGCCCTGAGCCCGGGGAGATGGAGGGAACCTCAGTTCTGGCCCCCTTGGACCCCCAGGGCGGCCTCCCTCAGGTTTGGCCCCACGCGGCCCGGCCCACCTTGCAGGACTGGTTCTCCCTCTTTCGGTTCTCCCTCTTCCTCCCAGCTTCCGCCCTCCCCTTTTTTGTCCCGTTGCTTTTTGCCTAGTCCTTTGCTTTTTTTTTTTTTTGCCTGTTCCCTACAACTTGCCGGTGGCACTCAGGGTCAAATACACTATTCATTCTCCAGCATGAATGTGCCTTTTAATTAGAAACCTAGAAATTTAGCTGAACCCACTCACACTCCCCCACTGACCACTCTGGTGCCTGAAGCCTCCCTCTCCCCCCTCGGGCCTCTGGCAGGTGCTCCCCACTCCTGGGAGGCTGATCCACAGGTCTGCCTTCTCCAAACCTGCCTCTGCCGGGAGGGGCTGAGAGGCACGAGGCCGTTTCAGCTCTGGGCTCGGGGCCTGAGGCTCGGCTGTGTAATCCCAAGTCTGACCTTTTAGCTGGAGGCCGCTCAGACCTCCTGGGACCCAGCCCTCGGTGTGCAGGCTGAGTGGGTGTCCTGCGCCAGTCTCACCTGTGCCTTGATTGCTTTAAGCATCTCAGATGCTAACGTGGTTCTTTTTTCCAGAAGCCTGTGATAAAAGTTTATGTTCCACTGCACAAGCTTTTGGGGCTATGCGAAGAGTATTCCTTCTTGTCAACCCCCTGCTCCTTTAACAGAGATGTTAACAAAATTCAGAGCAACTGCCCTGAGAAGGAGTTTAGGGAAATGCAAAGAATGAAGGCCTCTCTTTCGGACCCCAGATCCTGACTTTTCCAAAGTGCCTTAAAAGAAAGGAGACAAACACCGTGGGAAGTAACTTCTTTGTTACTTACTATACTCTTAAAAAAAAACGTCTTTTTTTTTCTCTTCCTTTTAAAAAAAAAATATTTCCTTCCATGTTACATTGGAATATTCAAGAAGTATGTGGTTCATTCTCAGAACCCAGGGGAATCCTGTGTCATCTGTTCCTCCATTGCTGACCTGCCGGTGCTCTCACGGGCGCCACCTGAGCCCGAGGTGAGGCCTGGAGGCCTGCCTGGTTCACGAGATGCTGTAGGTCCTGTTTCCCCCTCGGGGAGTTCAGGGCCAGAGGGTTCAGGGGCATTTCCTTTACCTGGAAGTTATCAACGTGACGTCGTCGTGTTCCGTGCCTTTGTTTCTGTCCTTCCCGTTGCTGGTGACCCTGTGAAGCGGCTTTTGGAGAAGGTCAGAGGGCAGAGGTGGCCCGGGAGGGTGAAGGAAGTGCGGTCTGGCTCTCAGCCTGGGCAGGGTTTCTGTTGACCTCAGGGCTGGCCATGGGGTGTCCCACACAGCCAGGACAGCGGTCCTGTTCTGGAGACCTGTGATGCTGTGTGTTTTAATTTCCTCTGTGTGCAAATGTATGCATTGACTATTGTGAGTGGGAGGGGGCGGGAGGATGTCTGACTTTGATGTTCAAAACAGAACTGTATTTTTTGCCTTTAAAATCCAGTAATATAACACAAATAAATGTCCCTATCTTTGTAAACTGCTGGTGGTGTCTCTTCTGATTTAAAGGTTTGGACTCTGTCGGAGCTGGTGGGCAATGATGGGGCTACCTGCTGGGAGGACTTGAGGTCTGCCTTTTGTGCCTCCCTGGTTCAAGGTGTCATGGCTGAGGTGGTGGGTAACAGCATCCCCACACACTACCCAGGAAGCACATAGCTGGATTAAACACGCCTCCCTGGAATCAGCTGATAAGAAGAAAATTCTGAGTTGTTCTAAATTAAGTTACAGCGTCCTGAGAGGGAGAGAAAGAGACGGAACTGTTAGTCTGTTGATGGCTGCAGGCCAGCTAATGACAGACATCTCAGCTCCAGCCGGTTTGGCTCAGTGGATAGAATGTTGGCCTATGGACCAAAGGGTCTTGGGTTTGATTCTAGTCAAGGGCATGTACCTTGGTTGCAGGCTCCTCCCCAGCCTGGGCTGGTTAGGGCTCTTGCAGGAGGCAACCAATCAATATGTTTCTCTCACATTGATATTTCTCTCAGTCTTTCCCTCTCTCTTCCACTCTCCCTAAAAATCAATGGAAAAATATGCTTGGGTAAGGACTAACAAAAATAAATAAACAAACAATATTTTTTAAAAGCCCATGTAATAAAACCCTAAAATACAAATAGGCGAAATGACTGGTCGCTATAACATGCACTGACCACCAGGGGGAAGACGCTCAATGCAGGAGCTACCACCTGGTGGTCAGTATGCTCCCAGAAGCCAGGCTCAAAGCTGGCGAGAGCAGTGGCGGTAGAGGGAGCCTCTCCTACCTCCTTGGCAGTGTTAAGGACTCCTCGGGGACATCTGACTGCTGGCCTAAGGTGGCAGTCGGACATCCCCTGAGGGGTCCCAAATTGTGAGAGGGCATGGGCGGGGCTGAGGGTCTGCCCCAGTGCACGAATGTCATGCACCAGGTCTCTAGTGTATAAATAAAAGACATCTCACATTCCTGTTTTGCCTGTTGGAATTGTGGATTAATTTCCAGGTGGCTAGATCCACAGATTATTTTAGCCAGACACGTAACTCCAGGAGTCCCCATATGTTTGCATGTGGGCTTTCTGGACCTCTGCCCACAGCCACTCCACTGGTGCAGACATTTCTTTATTCAACTCTGCTGCCCCAGACCTGGCCCTGCTTCACTTTCTCCCACCCCTTTGCCTGTAGCTCATGTAAATCCTTTCAGACTACTTCTTTCTTCCTTTTCTCCAACTCGATGTATTCAACCGGTTACAAAACTCTGGGATGACGGACATACCACTTTTCCTACCTGGCCGTGCTGCTGGTGGTTTAGACTCCATGCCCCAAGACCAGTCTTTTCATTAGCATTTCTGGCTTAATAAAACCTTATTTAAAAAAAAAAAAAAAAAAAAAAGACTTCAATCATGGAAGTTAAATAAAGCCATTTCCTCATCTGAACCTCATTTTCTTATCTGTATAATAGGAATAATAACACATATATTTTGAGGCTTAAAAGATATAAAGTATCTCACAGCTGCTGACTGCTATTATGGCAAGGCGTCGTCAGCAACTTCCATCTCTGGACTGCTTCTGTCTTCATGGCTGCAGTAGTCCTGTCAATTTCTCTCTGTTGCCAGAATCTACATGGTTTCGGAGTTGTTTTCTGAAAATATACAAACATATTCTCAATCAAAAGTTAGTAAAGGAATATTTTCTATTAAAAAAATAATAAAAGATATAAAGTATCTAAAACAAAGATGAACACCTACAAATTTTGTTGAGCATCTACTGGCTTCTAGGATACAATGGCAGAGGAGTTCCGAGTTTAATGTCTAATGGGAGGAAAGGGGGAACACGGACATTTTCAAAGAATCAAGTGAATGGAGCATCCACCTATGAACCAGGACGTCACAGTTCGATGCCCAAGTTGCTAACTCAATCCCAGTGCGGGGTTTGCAGAAGGCAGCCAGTCAATGATTCTCTCTCATCGATGTTTCTCTCTTCCTCTCTTAAATCCCTAAAAATATATTTTTTAAAATTAAAAAAAAACAACACATGAACACCTTACAGGTATCCATCACATGGTAGCTAGCGCCACTTCTAAGTAGAATTTTTCATAGCACTTCTCTGGCCACATTCCTGCTATTTTCCACAAATGCCAGGATAGTTCTGATAGTTCTCAGAGCTACTTAAGAAGGTGCTCACAGTG